TTGTCTCTCTTCTCTTCCATCTCTGTTAGCTTTGCCATTATGAATGTTCTAAATTCTTTATCAGATATTTCCATGATTTCCATTGAACTGTCTGTGGATAAAGAGGAGTTATTCTTTTCCCTTGGAGAAAAAGTATTTTCTTGCTTTCCCATATTTCTTGTGTTCTGCAGTGATTTCTAGTCATCTGAAGGAAAGTGTATTTCTTCCCAAACTTGAAGTACAATCTGAGCATCCAGGAGCGTGCAGAAAAGGAAACAGAGAGAGAGAAACAACAACAACAAAAACAACCAAGAAACAGAGAAAAAGAGAAGAAAAAAAAACTAAAAGAAAAAATAAAATAAATTATTAATTTTTTTTAAAAAGCAAAAATTAGAAAACCACTCAGGACCCATGAAGATGTCTTCTGAGGCCTGCTCCCTTGCCTCTCCTGGATTGGGAGGAGGAGAGGGGATTATTAACAAAATAAAGGGAGAGGAGGAGCTGAAAGTCGAGAAAATGCTTTACCTTAAAAAATTTTAAAAAAGAAAAATTTCAAAAAAATGAGAAGACAGAGACAGAGCTAGAGAGAGACAGAGACAGAGACAGGAGACATGAAAGTCTTCCTACCACTGGAGTTTGTGGACTGGAGACTGAATTATCAGTGTAAAATCTTCATTTCGCTTATTCCTCTGAAATCACTAGTTCTCAGGAGCCGTGAAGATGTCTTCTGAGGCCTGCTCCCTTGCCTCTCCACTTGAGTTTGTGGGCTGGAGGCTGAATTATAAGTGTAAAATGTTCATTTTGCTTATTCCCCTGAAATCACTAGTTCTCAGGAGCCTAAAGATATCTTCTCAAGCTTAACATTATTAATGAGAATCTAAAATACTTTTAGACTTACCTACTTTATATATATATGTGTACAGTTCCTTATGTTACAATGCTCTGCATAGATAAGCCTTTACTTACAAAGAAACTGTAATAATCTAGCTTTAATTTTTCATGCTATGTTTTCTGATTATAGTGTTTTAACTGAAGAAAACATACACAGAAACAAAAAACTAAAATAAAAATGACCAATTATGGCACCATCCAGAGATAACTATCATTAACAAGTTGATGCTTTTTATTTTATATGTATGCAATGACACACACATACGCACACATAAACCATATATATACATGTTAAAATGTAGTTGGGTTTCTATGTCATATACTGTTCATCTAACATTATGTCATGAGCATGGTTTATACATAAAAATTACTTGGTGAAAGTATAAACATGGTATATTTTCTTTCTAGGAAATTTGAAAAATATAAAAAGTAACAAAAATAGTGTGAATTTCCACTGTCCAAGGGAAGCCATTGTTTAGAGTTGCATAATTTCTTGTTTCATTCACATGTACATGCATGTAAAAACATATGTATTACTATATTCAGTATATGTGCAGTACTTTATATGCAGTTTAAAATCTTTTTATTCCATTTAACATTAAATCATGAAAACTACACATTGCCTTTTAAAGTATTTTTGTAATATATGATTTTCTAATATTAATTTAAAGTAGCCAATTTTAATTCTTTTTAAAAAGGATTTATTATGAAACCTTTTTCTTTTTGGAGAGGTTTTTACTATAGGGTGCATGCGCTTGCCAGAAAGACAGAGAGAAACAGAGAGATAGAAAGTGAGAAATCACCACCCCCAGGGGGATGGCCACACCACAGTCCCTTCTCCTCCATTTTCCTCTTGGGATCTTTGGCACACATGCACATGCACCCAGCATGAGTTTAAGCCACCAGGTCCAGGACTAGAACTGCAGTATACTACATGGGAGTTCAGCAACATAGCCATTACACTAACTGTTGGTCCCCCCAAATTTTTTAACATATACAAAAAGAAATCAAAACAGTAATCTGGCACAATAAGCCCATCACCCAACTTTGAGAGTTATTGACGCTATTATCAATGACCTATCTTTTCTTTCTTTTGTTTTTTCATTTGCCAGAGGGTGCATGAGCTGTCCAGAGAGAGATGGAGAGAGTGGGTTAGCAAGAAAGCACCTACCATGGAGAACGGTATGCTGCAATCCCTTCTTCTCCATGTCTCCCTCTTTTAGGAATTTTGGACACATACACACATATGCCCATGTGCTTTCTAAGCTACTGGATTTGAGACTCAAACCATACCAACGGCCATGTGGGATCCAGCCACCTTAACCGGTGCATGCGCTTGCCAGAAAGACAGAGAGAAACAGAGAGATAGAAAGTGAGAAATCACCACCCCCAGGGGGATGGCCACACCACAGTCCCTTCTCCTCCATTTTCCTCTTGGGATCTTTGGCACACATGCACATGCACCCAGCATGAGTTTAAGCCACCAGGTCCAGGACTAGAACTGCAGTATACTACATGGGAGTTCAGCAACATAGCCATTACACTAACTGTTGGTCCCCCCAAATTTTTTAACATATACAAAAAGAAATCAAAACAGTAATCTGGCACAATAAGCCCATCACCCAACTTTGAGAGTTATTGACGCTATTATCAATGACCTATC